ATCACAGCCTCCTCCTCCTGGCTGACTCCCACTGCCTTTGTGATCTCCTTCCAAGAATGCTGTCTTTTGTGTGCCTTGTCTCAGTAAAGTGAATCGTACGATTTGGTATAAGTATAAACCAGCACACTTTTGGACTGTCTCTCTTCAAAAGGCATTCACTGTGTTGCAGTTTGTTGTTTACACTTGAAGTGACAGAGGTAGTTTTTAGAAGAAAGAGCTTGAGAGAGTGCGAATGCAGCCAACCCTCCAATTTCCGTGTTGGAAATGTGTGGGAGGAGGGTTTCAGATGTTATTAGCCAATCTGAAAAGCACTTAATTTGAAGCCAATTGAGGCCCTATTCTGACTTTAAAGTTTATTTTAAACTCTCTTAAATTGTTTCTCCTGGTGTAATTGTGGACTACCAGAGTATAATAAGTCATAATTATTTCCCTCATGATGCCAGTTTCAAGGTTTTTTCCCTCATTTCATAGCACTGATGTTTCAATTTATGCATTCAGATTTAAAGGCCTACAAGATATATTAGTTAACACCCACAGACTGTTATTGTTATTCAGAATGTAACAGTAGAATGTTTGAAGCTGCAATGGTTATTTGATCAATAGTCGATAAATAGTTTTGAGTCATTTGATAAGAAATAATGCCCAAATTCTCTGGTTCCAGCCTCTCCAGTGTGTATGTATTTAGGTTGTTTTGGTCTTTAGTAAACGGAATATATTTGGGTTTTGGTCGGACAAAACAACACGTCCCCTTGGCCATGAAAAGTTATGATGGAGCATGCATTTTTCACAAATTTGTGACATTTTATGAAAAAACAACTGATTATTCAATAAAATAATTGCCAGACTAATCTGTAATGAAAATAATTGTTTGCTGCAGTCCTAATGTTGTCCATTTTGGTCCTCAGAATCCAGCAGCACACAGACAGAGCCTTCTGAAAGGGAAGAAGACTCATCTGAGAGGGAGGATGTCCACAGTCCGAAGAATGACAGCACTGCAGATCAACCCGAGGAGCCTGCTCCATCAGAGAAGAGTACAAGCTTTGAGCAAGAAAATGGGGAGAGCAGCAGCAGCAGCAGCAGCAGCGATGGAGAAGGCCTATCCAGTGACAAGCAGGTCCCTTCTTCTAGTAATTCACCTGAGTTATCAACAGAGGGCAACGCTGACAGTTCAAACAGTACAAAGACTGCAATAGAGCCTGGAGAACATGACTAACTTGAAGTCCAGCCTGCCAACTGACTGTTTTTTTACACTGTATGATACCACCCCAAGGGTATATCTGTAGCACTGTGGACCTCTAGACTTCAGGACCAGGGGTGATGTGGACCTCGAGATTCCTCATAGCAGGATCTTATTGTCCTCTAAAGTTTCAACTACTCAAGGCCGCTCGATGCCTGGTCTTTAAACTGGAAGGAAATGATTTAAAGAAGATTACGGAGACTCTACTTTTTTCACTGTTGACTAAAAGTTTTTCTAATCTTTTTTTTTTTTTTTGCTGATTTTTATATCTGAGCATTATAATTTAACCTTGATAACTGATGTATTCTACCTTGTCATTAGTCATTTGGCATGTATTTCCAAAAAAGATACATTTGACAGTGTGAGTTGTGTTTTGGCCTGTTGTTTTGACTATCTGATGAATGTGTGAGGACACTTCACAGACGTCTGTTTGCTTTTTCTATGAAGCACATACCATAAGATGTATTTCTTATTAACATTAATATTGCACTTGTTTGCATTGACCCCCTTGAAGGATGTGGAAAATGTCAGTTTTGCTTTGTCACTGTATGAAGCCAATATAAACACACAAATTGCCAGTAGAAACCCGTTTGCTTTGGTAGAATAGTGGTTTGGCTTAAAGGAAGCCATTTCTGCATCCAAATCTGTCAACAGAACACAAGGTACTTTTACACTTTCTGTATGTCATACCTTAGTTGTACAAATGTCCCTTTTTGATAGCTTGGATTTTTACAGTACGTATCTGTAAATCAGTTTTTGTAGACTTGTAATACATGTCCACTGCCTTTGTAGAACTGATAATCGCTGGAAATTGAATGCTTGAGCTTGTATCATAGTATTCATGGAAAGCAATAAATGCTAAAATTTAAAGTGTGGTATGTTGAGTTAATATTAAGGGAGTTGTTCTTTTGAGTTGCAAATCCAGTTACGTTTCATACCTGCAGAACAATGAACTATGGGAATTACCTTTTAGCCACGCTTGAGGTGTGTCTCTTGAAATAGCAACCTATTAATAGCGATATGGGTGACTCCTACCTCGTCTGTGATTTCTTAATTATAAACAGGGGGAATGGTCTTAACCCTGTATTAAAAACTATCTGTAGTCATGTCTCTCCTAAAAGATGTTGTTACAGAGGTGGCTCTGGTCTGGGGGTGTACTTTCAGCAGCACAGAATGATCATAGAAATATTATTGAAATACTACTGGCCGCACTATGATCTTCTCGCTTTTTCTGGCTACATGTTTATACTTACCACTTTGATCATGACAGTGATACCATTCTATATAGTATATAAGCTACAATGTAGTATATAATTGAGTATTTATAATATATAATGTAGAAAATATTATAGATCCAACACGTAACTGACAGAAGGGCGGGGCTGAGGAAAAAGTGCAATTAAAAATCTGCTACTTCAGCACCATGGACAGTGCCATGGATTTATCAATAGACAGCACACAGCCATAGATTGTAACCTGCACAAACCTCAGTCAGATAAAGGATCAATGAGTCTGGCAGACTAGACTAACCTATTCAACTAAACAACCCCTCTGCCGAGGAGAATGCATTTTGGTCATGGAGTGGCATCCTCCCTAAAATCATCGAAGGCTCCTACCCCATACTTCGAAAGATCCTCTTGTCAAACACTAAGTCATGACAGTACACCAGATTTCTGTCTTCAGCTGTACTTTGACTTTAATGTTGGCATAAAGTACTAACATGCTGATTGTACACCATAACATTCACACACTAACATACCGACATAAGCCAAACATACTACATTATTAGCCATTTAGTATTTCAAGTTAGTAAGCTAACATGCTTAACATTCACTACGTTCAAAGTATAAGCATGGTAGCATGCTTTTTAAATCTTGTTTTTGAAAGATTGTTTTTTGTCATGTTAGTGGCATGGCTCAAGGGATGGCAAAGTCTGTCAGTAGGTCAGTCCACCACTTTGGTCCAGACTAAAATATCTTGATAGATCGCCATGAAAATGTTTACTGATATTCATGGTCACCAACGAGGTGAATCTTACTGACCTTTGTGAACCTCTGACTTTTCCTCCAGGGCAACCCTGAGTTTGACATTTGTAGTTAAGACTGAAATATATATAGTTTGAGAAGGTCTGAGTTTTAATTCATGCTGTGATGAATCTCAGCATCTACTAGGTAGAGACATTCATGGTTGCCTGACAATGTATTGATTTGGGTGATCCTTTAACTCTTCCTTTAGCACCACAATGAGGTTGACGTTTTTGTTCTTTACTGAAATACTATTGGATGGTTTGCAGCAAAACTTGGTACACACATTCTGGTCCCCAGAGGATTGATTGTAATAACTTAAATCTAGCGCTATCATCTGGTCAAAATTTTATTTCTAATACTTTGGTTTATGCACAAATACTTACAAAAGTCCTGACATTCCCCTCAGCCTCAGCTAAACTTTGTATTTAGTATGAATTAGCACAGTTTTACATGCTAACATGCTGAACCAACACAGTTGATGGACAATGGTGTGGGCATTTGGCTCAAGTACAGCATCACAACATGATAACATGGCTGTAGAATCTTGTTATTTTACTGAGCCACAACACAGAGGAAGTGTAAGTGTTATGGAGATGACACAGGAGTGAAAATGAATGGGGACCAGTCCTGTAAATGTAAATGCAAATACAAATGAACTAGACCTGCTGAGTATAGGAATGCAACTTATGTAAGATGATTGGATGGAGGAAATATGGGTGAGATTTTAAATATCTCTTGTGTGAGAACAGAGAGTGTGGATCATTTTAATCATGCGAGGATGACATCCAGTGACACTTCAGATGGCCTTGACACTTCTAAGCTAAGATTATCACTATCCCTGTTGTCAGCACATATCGCTGACATATAAGGTATTGGGCCAGGCCAAGATTTCACCTGTAAACAATGGCTATGGTTACCACTAACACTGGCACTGTTATACCAATGAAAACATGCATTTATTTCCCTATTTCCATGGACAACTTCACTTCGTAATCCTCGAACAAGGCCTAGATGTATCCACCCATTTCCCAAATACAATTGCCCTCTTGATGCCTAAATTGTAATGTAATGTCCGTTCATTAGTGAATTTAGCTGCAACACATTTATTATAGGCTTCAGTGATACTGAAACAAGCATGTAAACAATAATCAGGGTAGCGGTAAATAACCCAAAGGTCAGAGCATTCATGAGTTACTAAACACTGTGTGTGAGTCATCAGACTGGTCAGTAACTTCCAGGACTACTGGGAAAGATTACTTAAAGGTGTACATCAGCGATTTAGTTATGAACCACCATTAAGGGACTAAGAAGAGACAGATTAAGAAGAACTGTCAAAATGTAAGCAGCTGTGCCTGAGATATCCTGATTTTTACTGTCTATAATGGATGAAGCTCTTCCAGAAATGATGAATACTACATTTCCCATAATGCAACTACTAGCATCTTTTCATTAAAAACAGACCTTAATCATGAGGTTTCTTTGCGTGTTTTACCTTTACACACACGTAAATAGTTTGAGTCATACCATGCAAACATTTATACATACAGTGACGACTGTGCTGTTAATAAAATGTCTATTATACAACAGACGTACTTGAAACCTGTTATTAGGGAGTGTGTTTTTTACATAGCTAACATACAGTGTAGGCCACAAGGAAATCCTCTAATGACCTGTCTGTAAGATAATTGATTGTGACAAGTGCCCATTTCTAATCCCTTATCAGTCTGTATCTCATCCTCACTTTCAGATGGGATTTGCTGCTATAGAGAGCCCAATAACAATTCAGCTTGTATGGACTTCGATGTAATTTTGATCATTTTGGTCTTTGCTGATTGGCTTCAGTAGTTAAGGACTATCATTCCAGGATTTTGTAATGTAGAGGGAAGCTTTGAAAGCATTACCCAGGTCAAATAGTTTTGTGTAATGTAAGAAATAATTTCAGTCTTTGGGGAATAGAAGAAAAGAAATTCCACAATGGGTCAGCGCCTGAGCGAGGAGAGTGACCCAGACAAGGAAATTGATGTGGCAGAGCTTCAGGAATGGTACAAAAAATTTGTTGTGGAATGTCCGAGTGGAACTCTCTTCATGCACGAGTTCAAGAGCTTTTTTGGCGTCACTGATAACAAAGAGGCTGCAGATTACATTGAAAACATGTTTCGAGCCTTTGACAAGAACGGCGTAAGTACAGACTTCTGTTGTGTGGACGTATGAGCTTAACACAGTCATTTGTCTCATTATAGTGTTGGCACTACACTTGCCACAGTAGTAGTGAGATTTGTTAATTGCAATTAAAGCCCATTATTGAGCATATCCTTTTAGAGCTGGAAACAATTAGTTTTGATAACAATTGGGTATATAAGGCAAAACAACAGCTTATGAAATGTGTATATTTGTTTTTGTTTTTTATTATTCAGTTTGTAGCATAAATAATGAACTGAGAAAATAATTATTAGTTGCTATCCTATTATTGTTTCCTAGTAAGAAGACTCTTTGTATTCTCTCTAGTAAATTACAATACAGGCATTTAGAGACTCTCTAAAGTCTGTAAAGTCTATTGCTGTACAGACATTTTGTCTGTCAGAGAAACATTTTGCTCATAAACGTCCTCTAAGTGGCCCTTTATAACATTGTAACTCTTTTTCTTGATGTACACAGGACAACACCATTGATTTCCTGGAGTATGTGGCAGCCTTGAACTTAGTCCTGAGGGGTAAACTGGAACATAAGCTCAAATGGACATTCAAAATGTATGATAAAGATGGAAGCGGATGCATTGATAAAACAGAGCTTCTTGAAATTGTGGAGGTAATATTGACTATCATGCAGTAACTATATGCAACTATTGATCTGTAAAGCTTTCAAAACATGTGGAAGAATATTTCAGGATAATAAATTGTTGTCAATGTAAGAGTCATTCTGACATACTTTCCTTTCACTCTCAGTCCATCTATCGACTGAAGAAAGCCTGCCATGGAGAGCTGGATGAAGAATGCAATCTGCTGACCCCAGACCAAGTGGTTGACCGGATATTTGAGCTTGTTGATGAAAATGGAGATGGTGAGTTATTGCAACAGTTTTATGACAGCTTTAAATGCCTTATGAATAATGCAAAAGAATAATGTGTCAAGCTGCTGTAATGGCATTGTGGGGCGTTAATGCTAAAGTGTGCATGTGGTCATTGTTGTTTGTGTATATTGAAATGAAAGGTGTGTCTCAGCTGTACAAAGGTACTCACCTTATTAAAAGTAATGAATTCAGGAATGAAGAAACGTATAGTAAAATAAAACCTAGAGAATAACCGTCTCTTGTCACGCAGGGGAGCTCTCGCTGGATGAGTTCATTGATGGAGCACGGAAGGACAAGTGGGTGATGAAGATGCTGCAGATGGATGTCAACCCTGGGGACTGGATGAATGATCGGAGAAGCAGTGCTGACTTCTAAGGCTGGAACATGGACTGTCAATATGTCACATACACACATCCTTCATGTGTGATTTTGTATCTACTGCAGTTTATATGTATATAAAAGAAGAAAACACCACAGAGATTCTGCCATTGTACTGCTATATTTTGCTTGCAAAGTGGCTACCTGTTTATTACTTTTAGTTCAGGTTTCACACTACAACAGTAGTTTTAAACTCATTTATAGAAATCTATGGACTAGGTCTGGTTATACACCTGTATTTTATAGAAGCTGCAGACGTACAGTGCTTACTTATATTTTCTTTTTGTTTCATAAAATGGATTAAATAAACATATTTAAGCCCCTACATAACCATGGTTCATCATAGAGAGGTGCTTTCACTTATTCAGGATGATTATAGCTCTTATCAGGGTTGTGTGGGGCTGTGTACAGACTGAGATTGATTGACATTTCCGTCAGTTATTGTTACACCTGTTAGGGTGGGACAATGGACAGGTTGCACAGCAGACATTTTGACTTGTCAAAGACAGAAAAACACACGTGGACCAACACGCACAGTAGCAGGAGCTCCCCTGCAGAATGAACTGGAATGCAGCTGTACGCCTGTCTTTCCTGCTAAGGCGTGCCAAAATGTATACTGTGCAACCAGTCTATTAATAACTTTAACATTTTTATTGGTGCACTCAGTTTGGTCACATAGTCCCCTCACAGCTCAGCCCAACTTTAGCCCGAATAGAGATCTAATGAAACAGGATTTAAACAAAAACATCTGGGAGCATTTGTGGGATCTTTAAAAACAATAAACACAATTTAAAAAAAGAAATTGTCTGTTTTGTTTTTTTTACATACATCTGATGTATTCAGTAAGTGAACTGTGCATTCATTTAAGAATTGTAAATAATATCATTTCAAAAGTAACTACAGTCATAGATATTACATTTTAAAAAACTACTATACTACTATTACTAAAACTACTTTGCAAGATTAGACTGTTTTCAGCTAGAAATAGTCGGTGGGGTGAGTTTCATTCTTCATAAATATTCTTATGAACAATGTTTGTACAAAAAGGTATTAAAATTGTGGATTTAAATGCATTTTTTTTTACACAATATCACACAGAAAGCAGAGCAACATGAAACAGAAAGAAAACTATAAACCACTCCACGAAGTCTCATATTTTCTCGCGACTCGCGAGAGGACAGACAGGATTCGTGGCTAGCTTCCGCCTTGCTGACAGACGACCCTACTGAGCTATCACTGCCTTTAAATAACACTAAGACGGCAACCTGCTGTCAACTGTTTTGTAAGTTATACGATAACCTTTACTGTTGCATGATACGTCAACTAACACGTCTAAAGCTAAAGCTGAATGTCGATAATCCTACGTTGTTTTAATGTGAGTCCACGACTGTACACACAACTCCCCGGACAAGTGCTCTACAATCTATCAATGTCGTCTGAACTTAAGAAACCAGTCAGCACTATCAAAATGAAGGTAAAGCTTACATTCAGAGGAAAAAAAATAATTCAGTGTTGGTTTTTCATGTGCATAAAGAGGTGTTCCTGTCATAGTTTGCCTTTTCAGTACACCAATGTTGTTTGTTTTTTGTTCTGTCGTTATGCTTCCTCACACGGTGTAATGCTGCCCCCTCCTGGCCAGCCTGAAAAAGACAGCTGGAGACTGAATTATGTCACTGGGAACCTGTTCTCCTGTCCTGAAGACGAGGCTTTGGCCCACTGCATCAGTGAGGACTGCCGCATGGGGGCAGGCATAGCTGTGACGTTCAAGCAGAGGTTCAGAGGGGTAGATGAGTTAAAGGGACAGAGTGAGTCAGACCTTTTATTAAAAATTAAGCTGGAGGGAAAATGTCTTATTTCAATATGGCAATGTGCAATATCCAAATCAGTAAAACGTGTGCCAAGACACCATCGCACTGAAGTTCTGTGGTGCTGCAGAGATGTCCTGGCCTACATATATTTTTCTCCAGATGTAAGGAAACATGTTTGTTTGGTACAGACCCCAACAGATTAAAAAATATAAAAATAAGTGAAAATAAATGTGATTTTCTTTTGTTGTTTTTTAAAATTTTTTAACCATATTGTGCAACTCTAATGGATGTACTTCTGCCTCCACCATCCCATCACATGAAAATATCCTTTATGTCTTACCATTTTGTACACATTTAAACACATCTGTGGGTTAGGACAATTCTTTGCTTGCTTTGTTCACCAGTGGGTCAGTGATGTTTAAGGGGTTTCAAAAACCATTATCTTTGGGGTTTGTCTCTTATTCTAAAGTGGATGTTGTCTTTTTATATCCAAACAGAAAAGCTGACGGGACAGTGTGCTGTACTGAAAAGAGACAGACGTTTTATCTACTATCTGGTAAAGATATAATAGTTTATTTTAATTGTTCCCTTTGCAGATTTTCAACAAATGTTGTAGTTAATCTTTGTATTGTTGCCTTCTTGTTGTTATATTGCAGATCACAAAGAAAAAGGCCAGCCAGAAACCGACCTATAAAAGCCTGAGCGATAGCCTGGAGCAGATGAGGTCACACTGTGTACTGAATGGAGTAACAAGAGTATCAGTGCCTCGGTTTGTAGCATTTCCAGTCATTTAGTGATACTTCATTAAATCATGTTCAAAAGAGAAATACTCATTTGCTCAATTAATTTAATTAATCTTAAACAGGACAAGATTTATGTTGGTTCTGTTACTCTAACAGTTGAACATTGTGGTCTTTCCTCTTTGTCTGACAGTATTGGCTGTGGCCTGGATCGTCTGAGGTGGGAAAAAGTGTCAGTGATACTGGAACAGGTGTTTAAACCCACAAACATCTCCATCACAGTCTACAGCCTCCCTGAGAAAGCAGAGACCACAGCAATGAAGGAAAACATGCGCAGATAATTGATGGAAACGTTTCTTTATTTTAATATTAAAGTTTGTGTTCTTTTCTGTATTATTCCCATGTATTCAAATGTTGTCATAAATGACATGGAAATAAATGTTGTTTTTTGCAAATGAAAGTCAACCGAACCCTTATGAACTTCTGTACATAAATTATACATAGCACATATTTCCACTGATTATTACTATCTCCAGTCATCCAAATGTCCCCTCTGATTCAACATATTGTCCCAGCACACTGAGCCTAAAATATCAGGTATCTCTTTATTTTCCCATTCATCCACCTGGCAATTACATTGTTTATTGAGCAAACAGTGTATTTGCATTTCTTTGTGGGCATCATATAACTTTTAGAGTGCTCATTGTAGTCTCTGCCAATGGTTGAGGTATTGTATGATCCATTATTGATCTACTGGGGGTATTGTACTTTAATTCAGCCGGGACATATTGGAGGTACCAGATGTGAGTCAAAAGAAAGAGGGACAGGAAACCTGACACCAGAAAGTCAATCCCACACACCCATTTTCTGTAGGATGGGAATGCCTTTATACATATTGTGGAACTGAAGTAGGAAGCAGAGAGCTAATGACACGCAATCTCCATTCACAGCAGTCTATTACATTCATTCGATTAAATACTCTAACTAAAGGGGGCTCCATTTAATATTTTGACGACATGTACTCACTGTATGTGAGTAATTAAAATAAACCTCAGTAGCAGTGAGACTGTCTGAACAGGCTCTCTAGTTTGCTTCCTGTGACCCTCCCACTCTCCTCTGGGGCACCTTCAATAATTCATGAGGAGAAGGCATTAACCGCTGTACACTGCGGCTGCCTTCCCATTTGCCCCCCATATATCCTGGCTGGCTGGAAGACTGTACTTCGGCATCACTGCAACCAACCCCCACTCTCCTCCTCCTCCTCATCCTCCCTTCCCATCCCCCTTCTTGCCTGGCAATTAGACTCCACACTGCAGCAGAGCCACCTAGCTGCAGTGAGTGCACGGAAATCTCCCTATATCTGACCTGCTGTCACACCTTTAGCATGCTACAGCTCGTGGGACCGTGCATCCAAATTTCTCCTAACCCCCCCACTTAACAGCCCCTGTCTCTTTGTTCCCGTGCAGCTCCTGCTTGTCCCACTGCGGTCCACTGATTCCCCCGCTGATGCTCTCCCCCATTCTCACTCTTTTCTCTACCACATACCCCCCCTTTTCTGTCCTCCATTCCTTTTTTTTTTTTCTTTGCCCGATGCGTATGAAATTGCAGAGCTCAGCATTCTTCTCCACTGGCACTTAAAAAAAAAAAAAAGAGAGATGAGCTGGGCGGGAAGGGTTTCTGGTGCACCACATAACTGGCCCCCTTCCAATTAAAGAAGAGAGCTTATGTTATTGAAGAGCAGCTTAGCCAATCAGGAGGCAGTGCAGGCAAAGGCAGCAGGAAAAAAGCAGCAGAGCGAGTGGGCAAGAGGAAGAAAAAAAAAACTGCAGTGTGTGAGTGTGTGTAGTTTTTATCCCTCCCCTGAGCAGATCTTTATCAATTTGTGTACTCCTGTCTTGGGGTGCATTTGAATGGGTATCTCTGTGTGTATATGTGGCAGAGTTTATAGGAGGACAGAGTAAAGGTGTGTCTAGAGGGCTGTGTAAGACTCCTGACTTATTCATTCTGAAACTGGAAATAAGAGAAAGTAAGAGAAGATTGATTATTTTTCTCTCTATCTCAAAGTGTCTCGGAGCCTGTGGAGAAGGGGAAGAGCTTGGTGTCCAGAGGAGAGGAACCTGCACAAAAAGGTAAGCAGCTGGGCTCCTACCACAGGCATGCTGGGTTTTTACACTTCTGAAGTTGTTTTTGGGTTGTTGTTTTTTGTCAGTGTTGTTCTGGCTCCTCTGCCTTCTTTCAGTCCTTCTCATATAATTACATATAAGTATGCACATGGATTTTTACTTTAATGCTTTTTTTTTGCATTATAAGGACTTGAGAGAAAAGCGGAGGTAAAGGGAGAGGATGAGAGAGAGGGAGGGGGAAGGTTAGTGCGGGACTCCCTGATGCTTCTAGGCAAGTTTCTGTGCACACGGTTCTCTAGTGCTGCAGTATCCCATTACATCCCTGAGCGGAGCTGCCTCAGCATCCAACCAGTTCCAGGCAGAGCTGCTCAAAGCATTTACTAGCTTTCTAAAATAACAGTTTTAACTTATATATTATCCCTGGTTGGGATAAGAGTAAAGTTTTGTCCCTTATACTGTAAATTCAGTGCACGCTGATAAGCTCAGCGCTGCAGCCCGTTCTGTCGTGCATGCTCTCATTGTGTATTCTGGGTGTCATTGGGGTTGCTTAGATAACAGATTGAATTGGCTCTGATAGCGTTGGAGCATGGTGATGAGTTTTTGTTTTGTTTATCCAGTGTTCTGGGACTTCCTTCAGTCAGAGCCTGCAGCAAAAGTACGCTCTCTGATTGGGTAAACTAGGCTTACTGACTACAGTGTACCAAAGAAGCAGAAAAAATAGTATTATCATATCTTTATGCCTTCACTGGAGTATTTATGCACCTAATATATGGTTCATCATTACTGTTAAATGAGCTCAAACAGCAGAGGAAAGTTAAGCTTTCTTTGTTTGTACTGAAGGACAGGTGATTCATACTAACACATTTTTTTTCCAGTATGCATTCATTATCAGCTTTATTTACACACATTCACAGTTTATTTAATACATCCCACTGTCGTTTTTTTGGAAGTCTGACCTTCACCATTTGTGAATGAAGATATGATACTGTCCAGCAGTGGGCACTGTGTGTTTTCTCTGTTGAAAATGTGTGAACACTGGCCTGCTGCAGAATGGGAGGAAATGTGGATGGACTTGGTGTGTTTTGTGTGGGCACGCTGAAAAATGTTATTTGACAGGATTAAGAGTACAGTCTGTACTGGTGTTTTCATGTTACTTAGAAGAAAGGCTAATACCTTTTACCCTCGGATAGTAGATGTAAGCACATGACATCTATGAACCTGACCAGAATCACTGATCCCAGTAACTGCTTTTAAATAAGGTTTAAATTATTCAACACTGAGTTATATGCAGGGATAAGGAGAGGACTGGGAAGGAAATGATAACTCATTTCAGCACCATGGACAGCTCAGAGCAAAGGCTTTTGATAGGTGCTTCCTTCAAATTCCTTGAAGCAAACCAGTATTTGGTAATGAGGGTTGGATGATAGTTTCAGGCAAAGCTAATCCTTCTAACTATGTCTATTTAGATGACCTGACAAATGTCAGGCTGTACACATTTTCTGTCTCCCTATTTGATATCGCAGTTGGCTGTGCCCATCCATTCTTTTGCCTCTTCAGTTGAAGACATGAAGAAAACACTTTTCATTATTCATGCACTTCTCCTTTTTTAGAACACGGCCCGTCTTAAAGAGAACTATGTTTTTGCAGAGGTGCAGAAAACTCATCTCCTAGCTGTTTCCTTAAAAAAAAAAAAAAAAACCTTGGCCCTTCCTGTTGTTGTCTACCTGTATTATCAATGTATGCTCTAGGTGGGAGTGTCAGTGCTGTGTTTTTGTTCTACCTTTCTTTTCACTGCAAAGCTCAGAGTGACACATCAAACTGTGGGATGAAATTGACTGCAGCAGCAAAATCGTTCAGGTTTGACATCTGCTTATTACATGGTTCTATTTGGGTGGTAACACAAAATCAAAAGGATGATATTATTAAAAGAGCAGAAATAATACATTATGTCTGCTGATAGTGGCTAGTAGCCAATTATGTTTCCCAGAAATCAATTTAAAAACTGTTAAGGAGGTGGTAAAAGACAGCGGTGGCATGTTACATCAGTGAGAAGAAAATATAAAACATATACTGGTTGCAGCCCATACAGTTCAGACATCTGCTGTCACACAAAGCTTTGTTTCATGTCATGGTTGAGAGCGAGCAGGAAAATATCTCTGCGGGATGCAGCCGGCATACTGAGAAACTCATTCAGATTGCAATGATCAGAAACCTCAGCTCTTTAATGGGAAACGGAAATGAGACCCCTCACTGTTCCCAAGAATTAGCCAGTATCCCTCTTGAAGATAGTAGCAGAGTGTGAGAGATGGAGGAGATTTAAGCACTTCTAATTAGGTAGAATGACTGGTTTAAACACACAGAGTTGTATCTTGTGATTCAAGTATAATTAAGTGTTGTAGCAGCTTCTTGAATCAGGCTTCACTACATAAACAGCCCCAGCCATGTGCTAAAATTTACTACAGTAAATGCTAGGTTGGGTTAGCAAGGTACTTTTCAAGGTTTATCTTTGTATTGTCTATTCTTATGTATGTATATAAATCATATACTGTAACTCTTTCTAAGATTTGTGGGTGTTTTGGAGGAAAGGAGCAGCTGTTGGGCTTGTCATTGCTTATCCTCTGTCCCAGACTGTGCGACATGGGTGTTTAGTTTGCCCCTATAAATGATGGTGTATGCAACATAGTGGAGCAACAACGGCTGTCACTGTGACATACTACAGTTAGCAACAATCCCCAAACTCTCCATGTCAGGACAAGGAGAGGTGCTTTAAAAACTCAAAACCCTTGTCTAGGCTGCACAGATGAAACACTGCAGATGTTGAAGGTGAGCAGACCCTCTTGGGGATACTACAATGACACTGTGATGCATACAGTGAAGTGTCGGAAGGACAGTGTGTGTGCCCTCTCCATTACCAGGAAGAGGGCACTTTATCATAGTCTCCAAGGAAAGGTTACAGGATGTATTTATGTATGTATTTGTGTAAATGTGTTTCTAAGCGTGCATGTCGGTGTGCATGTGAGTGACAGGAGAGCAGGATAGTTTAAATGAAGAAAATAGGAGTAAGTGTTGGACACTTGGACTACAGTCAGCTTGAAGAGTCTGGAGAAAAATTGGCATGAAAAGGACAAAAGCAATGAGAAGACAGTGAGGAGAGGAAAGCAAGACAAATGATACAAGTATGGGCGAGAGAGGGTGAGAGAGCGACAGATTGAGAGATTGTCAGAGGCAGAGCAAGAATGGAAGAGAGTGGGTGTGCATAGCAGAGCTACGAGCACTGCAGTACATTGCAGTGCCCAGCCCCCGCTGTGTTCTCTGCTCACCATCCGGTTCCATGCACTGAAAAGACCCCTGCAGCAGCAGAGCTGCACAGCACAGAGGGCTGCCTGCTGATGAACAGCAACCTCACAAAGAGCTTTTTGACCCGCCATTGTGCATTCTGAACGTCTGATGATGCACGGATTTTTGGAAACACGGTGTTCACGACAAAACAGCCGACCAGCGCCTGCCAGCGCATTGTCATGTAGGGAGGGGGAGTAGTCAATTCACGCTCCCCCTGGATTATGTAAGCATATAACACACTCACTCTACCCGATACCAGCTGAATCATACCACCTTCCCTGGCCATATTTCCCTCATTAGGAACATCTGCCTCAATGTTTGCTTTTGTTCCAGAGGTAGCATCTTTGCAAACATAGACAGACATTTTATTGAACTTATTGAAATAGCAACAATAGGGAGACAAACAACATGTGCCCTTAAATAGCTGGTGTTTGTATACCTGTGGTTTGACATTTTGTTGATGATGCCCTATGTGGTGAGAAAGAAATAATGATTCCATGAATAACTGCTGAGACCTTCATCTGATGTGGGCCTACTTTAAGGAAAAAATGCTATTTATTTAGTTTAAAGTCAGGCCGTGTGCAGTATGCATGAATGACTCACACAGGGTAGCCTCACACTTAAGTTCTGTTAGATTAATTATACAGCTTTTGGCTGGGCAAGCAGTACTCTCTCTCTCTTTCACACACAAACAGATACACGCAAGGACACAGACACATGCATGCAGATGTGAGATGAATCTTAATCCTGGAAATGAAGGAGAAGCTTGTTTCTGCTTCCATAAACAGTTGCTACGTTTCCATCCCACTGCCTGCCTGGGGGGGGACGGCCGAAGCGTGAGAGCTTCCCTCTTTGTATGTTCTCTGGTTTCCCTCTGCTTTGCTGATGTAGCTGATTCACATTGCGTAAGCGTGGACTCCTGTGACAAGGTCTGATTGTGTCTCTCGCTGTGTTCAGGAGTAGTTGAGTCAATTACACCTCGCCAGACAGGTGTTTGAGCTGCTAAGTGCGTTTGCCTCGGCACATCAGACTGTGTTTGCTTCTGATTTGCAATGGAATCAGCACCAGGCTTTAAAAAAACGATAAGGCAAAAATATGTGCTGGTAGTGAGTCACGCTGCAACTACGGATAGTAATCCAACTTGTAATCAATGCAAATGAATTCATTCACATCAAATGTATCAGATGTTCTTATTATTGTGTTTATAACATTACTGGGGAAACATATGTTAACATTACAATGACATTTTTATGTAGGTCATCAGGTGCATTACACTGAAAGCAGTGGTTTAAAAATAGATTTAATATGTTATTAACATGTGTAGTGATTTTCTTCCTTCAGTAAAAAAAAGTAAGAGGACATCCAACCTTTAAAAAAACAAAGAGAGAATTGCTACAGTCGTGTCTTTAGTCCTTGCAACAGTGCACTATTCACAAGGTGGTGCTTGGTGGAAAATGCCCTCTTTGACTATGGATAGTTGAAAATGTAGACATGAAGGGAAAAAGGGAGAAACACTCTGTGGTCTGTGTGACAGAGACAGAGAGAGTGGGAGAAAGCGGTAGTGTATTGTAGTGTGGGTGAGCTGCAGCAGGGATTCGGAGTGCTGCATTGAGCTGCATAATTAATGTTAAGAGGGTGGAGCCAAAGGCGGAGATAACTTGCCATGA